TAGCTCACCCGAACTGCAGCTAACGCAGCTAGCTCACCCGAACTGCAGCTAGCTCACCCGAACTGCAGCTAACTCACCCGAACTGCAGCTAACTCACCTGAGCAGCAGGAAGCTCCACCTGCAGCTCTTCAGCTGAGGTGAATGATTAACGGAGGTTCTGTGATCGGACTCAGTGGGTCAAACTTTAAACACACACAGTCTAAAATCCTCCAGTGTTTCCGAAGAGACTCTGGGACAAACTCGGTCAGAACCAGAAACATGGTTTAGAAACTTTGAGTGTGTGTGTCTCTGTGTGTGTGACCTGAGGTGACAGGCGTGGAGATCTCCTGACTGATTTCACTCCGGATCCCGGAGGATCCGATCCGGACGCCATACCTGACCCGGTCCACCTGCAGCGAAACAGAACCAGACATTTTAGAACTGAAGGGACACCGGATTCTGGTTCTGGACCAGGTTCTGCTTCTAGAAAACAGATTTCAGCCTGAATGGATCATCTTCGTGTCAGAGTCAGAAGCTTAGCAGTACACGAACCACCGAGCTGGACAGAACCAGAACCAGCTCATCTCTGCTCAGAGGCAGAAAAGGTTTTCGAACCCGACCCGCCTCCAGATGAAACAGTAACCGGATTATTCTGTCACTGAGGTCCGGAACCAGAACCGTTAGATATTTACTCAGTTTGATGGTTCTGGTTCATTGCGCAAAACCATCTCAGATATGAAAATTATTTTAGATTCAGAGTGTTCCGATGCCGAAACATTCTGTGCATTCTGACTCCGGTTTGGTTCAGAACCTGTCGAAACATATTTCATATTCATAGTGCTAACAGAACTCTTTCAACTTCATGTGGACCCTGCTGATCCAACACTATCCGAACCTGTTTTCAACCCATAAATCATGAACCAGAACCGGAACTAGTCTGTTTACCTGCTTTATCTTCTTCTGAGAGTCAAACTCAGACTTCCGGCGGGTTTCCGGTTCCTGAGAGCATCAAAAAACGACGAACCCGAGCCGAACTCCCCTCCTGGTTCTGCTGGTTCCGTACGGTTCTGTTTGTTTGAGCGCGAACTGAATGCAACATCGACTGGCGCTTTGAGATGACGTCACATAGCAAGGCGTAAATATAAACACCCACAGACGCCTTTGAGTTGAACGATGCGTCAACTCAACCGCCATTTGCTCCGGCACGGTTCCAGCCGAACTTACAGGGTCAGACGTGTTTCAGACTGAATACTAATGAAATAAAACCAGAAGCCTTCCTAAGATTAATTTGTCCATTTTCTCCAGTAGATTAAACTGTTTCATTAAGATTTTCTTTGCCACAAAATATTAATTTACGATATATAATGTTTATTGTGTTCTGGATCATATCCAGAACATTCTAACAAATATGTTTTCCTGAAGTGATAATGAATGATCTTATCTCCGAATTAGTCAACAGTTTATGAAAAAATATGACGCTTTGGTCTTTTATTTACGTAAAAATACATTAAATTGTAGCATATTGGTGCAATAAAATACGTTATTGCGTGTTTTAAGTGAAAATACGTATTTACATAATTTTTTAAAATCTGGGAATACAGGCAGGGCAGCAGAAAGGATCGTGGAATTGAGGCAAACTACAGCAGCAATCAAACATGATCAGGTTTATTTGAGCCAATAAAAACACCGAATCTGGTCACGCATCACTTCCTGTGAGGCGAGAGGAAGCAGCAGGAGAAGATGGACCACGACGAACGGACAAACGTCACAGAAAACTTTATAATCACAAATACTCTAAAAGTGAAAATTAGAAGTAAAAAAAATGGAGCTCTCTGATTGGCTGCTGGCTTCTTTCCTTTGAAGGTGTCAGCCAATCAGGTGTCAGTCTTGCTGTTGTCAGAGTAAAAACCCGGATCGGTTCTGATGGGTTCATGTCTTTATCAGTTCATAGTGTTTGTAGGTATGTGTTACCATGGCAAGAGCACCAACCTGTCATCGATGGGTCTGAGGATTATGGGTAATGTGGTCCCCTAAGGTTTAGGCAGCAGCACCAAGAAGTTTCAGCACCAACAGAACCAAATGACACAGAACCACAGAACCAACAGCTACGCAAACTGGCCATATAAGTAGGTACAACTGGATGTTTTCGAGTTTATGACGTTTTATTCACTAAGTGGCTGTTGTCATGGTTACAGAGCAGCTGAGATGGGGATAAACAAGGAGCGCCTGAAGGTTCTGGATTCTGACCCGATCCATTCAGACTGCAACTCAATAGCGCTAATCATCCCCTGCTGGACAGTGATGAACAGAACGGAATGGAAACAACTTTTATTGTCCCACAGAGGGAAAATTCTGCTGCAGACCGGTTCTAATGGGTCGCTGCAGGTTGATACCGACCCGGAACATTCAGTGTCACATCAGCTTGATCCAAGAAATTAAACTTTCTTTGAAAATGTAGTAAAAATCTTTCTGTCAGCACCAGAATCGGTTCTGTGCAAGCTGCAGTTTGTGGGCTGAGATGGTTCATATCTCCAGAACCAATGAGCCTCCAGAACCAGTTAGACCCACTTTCCCAGACAAGAACCTCTGGATCAGTGAGTTAATCCAGAACCGTCTGCCTGCCACTTCTGGATTGATCCTGTATCCGGGTCAGTTCTGTTTGTTTGGTTCTTGAAGTGAAGCCCGGCTGCTGACAGCCTTCCTAGAACGACTAAAACTGCTTCAGGACACAGGCCAACGGTCCAGATGTCCATCTGTCCTGCCGTCTACCTGTCCTTGGCAGAGCGCAGGTCGGTGGTGATTGGGTCATGCTGAATGGTCTGGTGCAGCATCAGCGCCAGCAGCCCAGCCCGGTTGGTCATCGCCGTCCTCAGGTTCCTCTCCTGCTCAAACAGTTCGTCCAGCTTGTACCACTGGTGGACAGACAGAGGACAGAGAGGACAGCGGGATGATAAGTGTTGAGAGGAGTTCAGCCTGTGAGATCAGACCCCCTACTGATCTTAGCAGAACTACTGCTTTTAATTGAACATCCCCAGGTGGAAGTGATTCCAGATCTTTTCCAGTGCGTTCGGACTTCGTTACCACTCGGACTCGCTCCAGGTCGACCTCTGCCCGCCGCAGCTTCTCCCAGCAGTAGTGCTTGTTGCACTTCCTCTTAGAGACCCGACAGAACTCTCCAGTGGGCTCGAAGACGTCTTTGACCAGAGGACATCCACACACCTCATCTGCCGGGACCTGAAACATCAGAAACCATCTGAACAAGGACTCGACTGTGGTAGGATTCCACTTCTGGTTCTGATCTGTTTCCTGCTCAGAAAGAAAAGCAGGACAGTAATGGGCTCAACGAACAAGAGACATGTGAAACTCATCCCTGTCGAGGCGTGGCAGATTGAAGTCTCTCATATCACGTTCACTCAGCGCACTCTCAAAGAAAAGCAGGGCAGAGTAATGGGCTCAACACACAGGCAAAAGCTTTCAGATCACGCTTTTGCATTGCGCGTTCTCAGGTGCTCTCGGTCATGCTCTCCAAGAAAAGCAGTACAGAAAAATTGAATTGAAACACGGGCAATGAAGAAGAGAGACAGGGTACAGTTGTCAATGCTGGTTGTGTTGCGAATCACGTTCTCTGATTGCTTGTCTCCTAGAAATTTGAGTGTTTATGAAATTGGATGGAACTTTTAAACATTCAAAGCAGTTTGTGACTTCAAGGATTAAGGGTCAGAAAGAATTGACAGGAATTTTGCTGTTGACTCTACAAAAGACAGCGTTGGACACCCAGCTGAGATGATGTGTCCCTCCATGCTGAAACTGGTTACAGAATGAAGAGCCAACGCTCCTCTCATTGGCCAGTAACCCTCGATGGCTGGTCATAGTGTCATGTGACGGCAACCAAGGTTCCACTTTCTTGTGTTGCATTGCAAGCCCTCGTGTTGCGCATCTTCATGCGGAACACAAGGGCTAAAGTTTCACACGCCCGGATGTCGGTGGAGGAGGGCGACGACAGTCACCCCATCAAGTTCCAGTTGAAAGAAAAGCAACATCACCAGACTTGTGTCAAATTCTTAACAACCCATTGGTCCATCCATCCATCCATCCTCAGATCAACAGGTTTTCATCAGAGGAGACGTACCTTGGGATCTCTGGAATGTTCTGGACACAGAACCTGCAGCCGCTTGCAGTATGTCTTGCTCTGAGGGTTGTAGACATCACAGAATAGCCGGGTGGCCCTGAGACACGGGGACAGCAGAGACACAGGGACATGTGAGAGACAGACTTGAAGCAACGGTAATGTAATGAGACTGGAGGAAGTACAGTGGTCTTACCCTTCGATGCGAGTCGGATACATGGAGCCAAACGAGGTCTGGCTCTCGTACTGTTGGACATACAGAGACACAGTGAGACAGGAGGACGACCGCTGACGTCCTGGAGGAGCTGTTCTACTCCCCGGACATGTCCTGAAGATATGAATACTTCTGGACCATGTGTAAAACCTCAGACAGGCACAAGTCTACCTCTGGGTCTCACCTTAGCATAGCACCTCTCCATGTGTCGCAGCGCCACCTTGGGGTTGACGGGGTGACTGCAGGACACACAGAAGATCTGGAGGTCTGTGTCGTCCCCGTCTCCCTCAGCAACCTGTAGACAGACAGAGACGAGACAGGGGCGGAGGAAGACAGATATGGACGGGTCAAGGCCAGGCCGGGAGGACACTGTTGTATCTCTCGGCGTATCTCACCTCCTCGTCTTGTTGGACCTGCTGCTGCTTGGCATTGGCAATGATGGTTTCCAGTTCATGGAAACGTTTCTCCATCAGCGTGAGGCGGAGCCTGGCGGCCTGCTGCTCCTTCCTGATTCGCTCCAGCTGTCTCCGCCCCATCTCCTCGGCGACGCAGGGACTCTGCTGCCACTGCTGGATCCTCTGGGGGAGGATCTCATAGATCCGGCTGCCGATCACAGACAGAGTTAGCTGCATATCAGGCTACCGGCACTCGTGCTCAGCTCTCACTCACTTGGCTGCCAGTTTCATGCCGCAGTCCTCTGAGCAGTACTTGGAGCCACTTCTTGCCGGTTCAACGCAGCCCGGACCCAGACACTGCCTCAAAGCCCCGCATGCCTCTTTAGCCCCGCCCTCTCCTGCGCGCTCGCTGTGCCGCATGCGCTCCCTGTGGCGTTGCTTCACCTTGTGGCGCCGAGGTTTCGCCTCTTCTTTGGGAACAGAAACGGACTTCTGCAGGAGCACAGGCGTGTTAGTGACATCACTGATTACATAATGAATCATGTGATCAAATGGCTACACCTTTTTCTCCGGTTTCTTGTCTCGTCTCTTCACGTGTTTCACCTTCACTGCCTTCTTCCTCAGAGAGTCTGACTGAGCATCATCTTCCTCCTCGCTGTGCCACACCTTCAACAGAAAGTTGGTCAGTAATTGGTCAGTAGGTGAATCCCTGATGTCTGATTGGTCACTCACCAGGTCTCTGAATCCAGCCGCTTTGTACTGCTGGTACAGCTCCAGCTCGCTCTCACTGAAACCTTCCTCATCCTCGTCCTCTTCTTCATCGTCTTCTGAAAGATGCCCCGCCCCCTTTGTGGACAGGCCCCGCCCCCTGCTGCCACTCCAACTCATCTCCTCGTCTCGAACTCGAAGCATCTTCTGCTCAAAGACAAAGTTCATCACAGTGTCATGTTGAACGGGAGGATGCAGCTCCGCCCACCACTGACACATCATGCTGTGATTGGCTGATGAACTAAGGTGGACAACATGAAGATCTGGGAGGCATAGCTTTGGTTTCCATGCCAACCACGTACCCGAGCTCGGACCTCGCACTGCCGGAGGCGGCATTTCTGCCGGATCTTGTTTGGACCACCAAATTTCTTCATGTCTTTGCAGAAGTCACACTGAGCGCAGTCCTCCGTCCTCAGGCAGGCGTCACATTCGCCGCACATCCGGGCCGAGCGCTTGATCTGTGGGCAACAGCAGCGATGGTCAGGCTACAACACCAGGGGGAGCCAGAGAGCAGCGGACCATCTACCTGAGAACCCCGCCGCCGGTCTATCCTGGCCTGGAGGGCGGAGCTTCGCTCGCCATCCGGTCTGTCGTCCCTCTCAGGCTCCGCCTCCTTGATCTTTTTCTGACGGTATTTGATCTCCAGAGACGAGTCTCTGTCTGCAAAGACACAGAGCTCAGCTGTAAGTGTTGCTCCTGCCAGCAGGGGGCAGCGCTGGACCACAATGACCTCTGCAGGATGGGCAGAACCAAACTCGAATGGCTTTGGCTGCTTTCTCCGACACGCCGACGCACTGACCGTGGAACCACTCCGTGCAGCTGTCACAGCCTCTGAGGTGCACACACACACACACACACACACACACACACACACAAGGGACAACCAGAACCAAATAAACTTCTTGGTTTGTGCACAACATAGATAAACATTTGTGTTCAGACCAGTTTTATTCGGTGATCCATCAGAACCAGAACAATGTCAGCAGTACCAGTAGAAGACACTCAGAACCATGAGAAAGTATTCACCACCTGTACACACTCAGTGATGAAGATGAGAAATTTTAAGGGAAATCCAGAGAGGGAAAGTGTTTCTGAACTACATCAGCGATCCCAGTTCCCTGTGTCAGATTTTAGCGGTTGGAGGATTTCTCTTTAGTCTTTGACTAAAGACCAGGAGCTATTTCTCCTTCCTGCACTAGGCTAGCACGTTAGCTTTGATTGTATTTACCCAGAATGCCCTGTGCTGTAGTCCACTTCCTGCTTTTGGAGCAGACTCCGCTCCCAAAGTGGATCTATAATCAAGCTGAGGATCCGCCCGACCCATCAAAGGTA